GGGGACAGAAAATAAACAAGGCTCCAAGTCCGGGGAACCCCTTATAGCATCCCGTGTGACGACGGTGTGCGCTTTGCGTGCTGTAGGGATGGGCTGGCTGGGAAACACTAGAGCGGGGTGTGTCGCTCTCCAGTGAGAAATAATTCACTAGTAACATCTGCATGGGAAGGCATGGCTATCTGCCTTCTCCCTGCGGGGATTGCATTCACATGGCGGGGGAGAAGCCTTACTTTTCCGAAAGCTAGTAGATCCCGTGTGACGACGGTGTGCGCTTTGCGTGCTGTAGGGATGGGCTGGCTGGGAAACACTAGAGCGGGGTGTGTCGCTCTCCAGTGAGAAATAATTCACTAGTAACATCTGCATGGGAAGGCATGGCTATCTGCCTTCTCCCTGCGGGGATTGCATTCACATGGCGGGGGAGAAGCCTTACTTTTCCGAAAGCTAGTAGACAAAAACTCGTGGGAAACCGCATATCACGTTTGGCACATTTCAAGCTGCTCCCTTAAAATCTTAGACGAAAAACGGTGTTAATTTTTGCTTAATGCTAGCTGTCTTCTAGTATAAATGTTAATATCTTGAACAGACTGCTGTTGTAGTCTGCTGGGTGACATTGAAAGCAAAATATGTGGGTGGTGAAATTGTATTTTTAGACACCGAGTTGTAAAACTGTCACTCTTGAAAGTCCAATCCTGATACACCCTTCAGGCTGTTGCTTTCACTTTTGTTTCCTGATGCTAAACGAGCATAGAAGAAAGGGGGAAAATGAAAAAAAAAGGGCTGTTTGCATTTTCCTTTGGGTAAAAAATTAATGTACCTAAATAAATCTGGTTTTCAGTTCTTAATACTTTATTGTCCTCTAATGCAGTTGTGCAGAAAGGTGTTTTTTTTTTTTAAGACAAATTATACATTTAAAGTGCAGGTCTGTTAAGCATGGTTTTATTTTCCATCACTGTTTTGACTCATCTGTCTTTGACCGTAAACAATGTTTGAAAATATTGAGTGATGAGTCCAGATTTTAAATTGAGTTCTGAGAAGCTTTGTTCATGTCAAAACTCATTTAACAAACCAAATTAGGAACTTTTATCTGAAATCACCTTTTGACACTTGGCAACTGATTTCCAGAACTCATGGCCATGTTCAGTTACTAGTACATTATTTCACAAGTAGTCCCATTTATGTCAGTATGTTCTGGATGGAGTTAACATTAAATACTATGACAGTGAACCAAGCCTAGAAAAAAGGACACAGATCAGCATTTTTCTTCATTATGAGGCATCTTTTGTGTTTTCCTCATATTGGATGCCAGTTACCCCTTAAAAATAGAAAGTACTTTGTTCCAAAGATTGCTGTCTGCGCCTTGGAAAATCAAGGGTATAAGCTGGGCAAATTTTCCATTCACATGTTCAATATTTTGCTTGTGCCCCTGTTCTAGGATCCTGTCCAATCCTATTAGCATAAGTAGGGATTGGATCAGATGCTCAGTTATGTTCTCTCGCTCTCTCTTTTTGGGAATAAGAGAGAGTCTATGAGAATTTGACTATGGAGGGAAGGGGCTGAGCAAAGGACAAAAAGAATGAGAGTAAACTTATAATTATTGTTCAAAATAGTTGTATTGTATGAGGAAATTACTTTTGTCCATTATCAAGAAATGAATATGTAAAGGCTCTTAGCAATTAGGATAGTGTCAGTTTGGGCATGTTGCACATCTTTTGAAAATTAAGTGGGATATGTTTTTATGATGGTATTAATAGGCATTGATGTCAGCAGGTTTGTCTAAAAAAATTAGATTGTTTAACATGATTTTGAACCGTCAAGTTAGATGACAGTGCTGAACATGGTTTGTCTTCTAGGCTGGTTGCTAAGTTATGGCCAGTATTGTCAATTTTCCAAAGCAGTGTTTAGATGTTATCATTTTTTGATATGCATACATGTTTAGTGGAACTACTAATTTGTGTAATCCCTGTATTAGATTGCTGCAAAGCAGCTGTGTCATGAGCTACATGTTCATCTGGTAAAAGAGGAATAGAAGCTACTGAATACCTCAAATGTGATCATATTAACATTAGTTTTAGAACTTTCACTTCTGTACTTTGTATTTTTAACTGAAACCTTAAATATAGCTATAGTATGTTTTTTTCAGTCAATAAAGTATATGGGGTAAGAAAACTACATTTTATATAATTTTGAATATATTCTTAAATATGGAAGGATCAGAAATTGGCACTTTCCTAATAACTAGCAAGTACTTTTTTAAAAAATGTGGTTGAAAGTTACATGTTTTCATTTTTCCCAGGAATTCTCTCTCATCCTTAAATTGTGAAATTTATCCCAGCATTAATCCTAACATTTACTAAACATGTGCAGTCACAGTAACTGTGCAAGAAGGTGATTGGTTAGCTATGCAGCTGACCATTTCTACGTACAGTTCCTACAACTGTCAGGCTGTCTCTACATTGGCAAGCTTTAGCGCAAAAGCGGCCACTTTTGCGCAAAATCTTGCCTCCTGTCTACACTGGCCGCAAGTATTTGTGCAAGAACACTGACGTTCTACTGTATGAAATCAGTGCTTCTTGCGCAAATACTCTGATGCTTCCGCTCAGGGATAAGTCCTCTTATGCAAGAAAACCCGATGGCTAAAATGGCCATCGGAGCATTCTTGCGCAAAGAGAGCGTCTACACTGGCACAGATGCTTTTGCGCAAAGGCATATGCCAGTATAGACGCTCTCTTACTCAAATACTCTTAACACAAAAACTCTTGCATTTAGAGTATTTGCGCTAAATCTTGCCAGTCGAGACGTAGCCTCAGTGTGCAGATGTTATATTTAAAATTACTAGATTAAATTACTACATCACATTTTTATTAATTAAATTTATGATTCAAAGGGCTTTGGTTGTGCTTTTTTTCATTAAGGCAGGGTGGAGGGGTAGAAAATGAAATAAAGCTGTTTCTGACATTCATGGTTTTAAATGTTGACTCAGCTAGACCAATTGTGGCTTTCACATTTTTATTCATAAATGCACTTAACTTTACTTGACAAATTGTAGTGGATCTGAAAATTGTGGTCTCTGAAGATAGGAGGAAGAAACTACACTATTTTAACAATATATGTGTTACCTTTGGTCTCTTGAGTTTGTGAAATCGCTGCCTCTTATGTACTTATAGATTGATCTGGATACTATTGATGTCAGCAACCTCAACAGGCAGTTTTTGTTTCAAAAGAAACATGTTGGGAGGTCAAAAGCACAGGTAAGGAGACATTTTTGAAAACTGTTCTAATCAATATAATAAACATCTTTCATGTTATGAATATAGTAAAATAGTTATCGTACATAGTAGATCAATGTTGAAAATGTATGATTCATGTCATATAGTTTGAATATTCTTGTTTGCTTTTTAAAATAATAGTTCATGCTGTATTTCTTAATTGAAAAAAATTAAACCCCGGTGTTAATGTACAGTGTTTGCAGATTTGTTGGATCATGAATGAAAGGCAGAAATTGTGGATTACCAACTGTTTGTTCTTTTCCAGGTTGCCAAGGAAAGCGTGTTACAGTTTTACCCAGAAGCTAATATTATAGCTTATCATGACAGTATCATGAAGTATGTTTTTCTTATATTTTATTTAAGCTTATTGGGAATTTATAGTTACTTAAAACATGTACTTTTTTTTTATTGCTTGAGAAGATTTTATAGAATTACTAAATATTGAAAAATTAACTAATGTGAGGCTACAGCAAATTTGAGTGACTTGAGTTTGGGCATGAACTTTTGAATGTTCTTTATTTATTCTGTTTGTATCCAGATTCTCCCTTTTTCAACCACGGTGGAAGCTTTCTAGAACTGTGTTATTCAGCCTTTTTGATACCAGGGACCAGCCTTCTACCTTCCTAAACTATGTCAGGGAAATCACAGGAACTGGCACCATTCCATAGAATTGTCATTGAAGGCTTGTCTACGTGGCAACAATATTTCGAAATAACTTAGTCTATGTCTACACAGCAGGCAGTTATTTCAAAATACTGTCAAGCTGGAGGACTTCTTACTCCCAACTCCTGTAACCCTCTTTGTACGAGGAGTAAGGGAAGTTGGAGGAAGAGTGCTCTATTTCGAAATAAGTGCTATATAGACGCTCCCAATTTTGAAATAAGGTACATAATTGACATAACTCGAAATAAGCTATGCATATTGAGCTACTAAGCCCTGCTGTGTAGACGCACCTTAAGAAACAATGTTATAGAACACTTATTTATACTTAGGCCCCGGGTATTCATTGGATAAACCTGTATAATTTGGATATTTTAAAGTATATTGAGTTTTTATAAAAAAGCAGAAGGCACTTAAATGTGTTAATCTTCACGTATATTACATGTGAAATGCTCTTAATATAAACATTTGACCCTAGTTATTTGTGCACCAGTTGATGTCTTTAAAAATCTGGTTAATTGTTAACATCTTTAAAGTACTAAATTAGTGGTTCTCAAACTGGGGTCTGCAACTCAAGCTGAGCCCGTGCTGGTGCTCCAGACTCATGGTTCCCCCACAAGATTGGAGTTCTAGCTCCGGCTTTCTCCTGGGGCGGGGAGAGAGAGCCCCAAACCTCCCACTGGATCCACCTCACAGGGAAAAAGCAGAGCCAGAAGTGACTCTGCCTACTGCTTCTACCCTTCCCCCATGTGCTTCTTGAAGGCTTTCCCTGCTGCTCCCATTGGTAGGAATTAGGTCAATGGAAGCAGTGGGAGGCCATACCTTGGACACGGTGCCTGGGAGTAGAGGGGTGTGCAAAGGCAGGTAAGTGCCTTCTCCCCTCGTGCCCAGACACTGCATTCCACACCCCTGCTGAGACTCTGCACCCCCAACTCACTCCTGCACCCTGCCCCCCTTCTTTCCTCCCCCTCCCGCCAGAAACCCTACTTCAATCTGCTCCTGCCCTTGCTCCTGGCCCCTCTGCTCCTGGCGAGACACCCTACTCCCAGCCTGCTCCTGCATCTTACCTCCCACCCAGACCTTGCATCCTGACACCCTCCCCTATCGTACTCACTGGCAGCCCTGTCCCACACACTGAACCCCTCATTTTTGAACCCATTCCATTGCCTAGTGGGGCCCACAAAATCCACTAACCCTGGAACCCAGAAGACTTTATCTGACCTATGAGAATCCCTGCACCTCAGTCTTCCTTGTCCCTCTCCATCCATGGGACTGGAGCCTCTGGGGAAGGAAGTGTCTCAATTGGGGATCACATTAGTGAGGGTTGGAGTTTTTTTGGAGGGTGGGGTTGCTTCTCACTTGTGAGGTCCCCAACTGATTTTTCTGTGGATCTGTGGCCACCAACCCAAAAAAGGTTCCTCACACCTGCCATAAATAAAAACAATGTTGAAATCTTTTATGTTGCACATAAATTAAAGTGCTTAATCTGTTAATAATTTTGTTTAATATTTCCTTTCTTATTAGTTAAATTTAACTGTTCTTCATAGATGGAGCACAATCAAAATGGCTTGGGTGTAATTATGTAATTAACAGTGAGTTTCCATTAGCAGCTGGTTGGCCACAGAAAGGTTTGCATTGAGTCAAGTGGGCCACGGGCCACAAAGTTTGAGAACCACTGTACTAGATCAATACAGTTCAAAATACATATTTTTTGAAGCTGAAGTAATTCTAATGGTTTCATTTGTGTTTTTCCATCTCCTTCAGCACCATGTTTTATGTTGTGTTGATAAAGCACAGCCTGTGAAGATGCTAATTGTTGGCACACAGTAATGAATATTAAATATTAAATTGCAGTTACTGAGCTAATCATATAGTCGATACAATTTATGTTGACTGTACGATTAGTTGATAGGACTGCTCTATAGAGCCGCAGTGGGGTTAGCTCCAGAAGCCACTTGTACTGTGGCTCTGCATTTTAAATGTAGTAAGAACTCACGCTGAGTCCAGCAGTCCTTGTTCACAGTGGACAGGGATTGGGAGCAAAAGCAGAACTCTGCCTGCAGCCAGCCCTGGCTGCTCTGGCACCAATCCCTGTTCGCAGCAGCCAAAGCAGCCCCTGCCTGTGGCCAACCCTGGCCACCATAAATGGGCTGCTTGGCAGTGGCCTACCCTGGCCACTGCAAACAGGCTGCTTGGTGGCAGCATTTTTATGCTGGTTTCCCTCCTCCCCTTTACTGCCTCTGAAAGTTGCTTATGTTCCTAGCACACAGCTGTTTAAACCTTTATTAGCTTCTCCCTTTTTCTTCATTCCTATAATTTTGAAATTAATGTTATAACATTTATTGAATAAGCATCACTACAGTACAGGAAGCACTTGCCATTTGCAGGGGATACGTTCTTGAGATCACAGCGAGTTGTGAAATCTGTGACTACTGGCAGTAGCAGTGTGTTCCCGACTCAAAACAACCACATTTTCCATATAAAACAATGTTATATTAATGTTAGATTAATATTTGCATGTAATAACGTAATAAACTTGTGTAATATCTAAAATTTCCCAGTATGGCATCATTGCAGTTCAATTTCCCTTTTAACTTTCGGGCTCCTTCACTAGAGCACACTGGGCTTAGGCTGGTATGATGAGGCACACAGTGAATAAGTGAAACTATGGTCTTCCTGTATTGGTTTAGAATGTTAACAAGAGCATTAAAAGATGCAGTCATATACATTTTTATGCTTCAACTTTTTGTTTTGCTTTTTGTTTTGTTTTGCTTTTTATTAGTTGTAAAATATTGCTAGCATTTAGAAAATGTCTTTGAATATTAAATTTGCCTTTCACTACCAGACGTTAACATTCCCCACCTCCTTTTTTCCCAGTGGAATTTATATGTACATCATCCTTTCTGTTTACAAGTTTTTTCATAAATATTAAAAGGGCCTTGTGCAAAATGTAATACATTGTTCCCCATTGTGTCTGAAAAGATTTTTGTGTGAATCATCAATATTGGCAGAAGTTTGCACAGTTCTGGAAATACTATTGGTGAATAAACTACTGCTCCAGCGCTTAAAAGAAAATTTTCATGATTCAACCCTGCTTTGGATCATGGGGAATTATTTTTTTTAAGTAGAATTACAAAGGGCATTTTCTCCTCAGACAATAATTTTATAAACTAATTATTGATTATAATAATGGGACAGGTAATAAATAATGCTGTTCCATAAAAGTGGTGGTAGTTTGTGCATACGTTATGTTTGCATGTACAGGCAGTCCCTGGGTTACATACAAGATAGGGACTGTAGGTTTGTTCTTAAGTTGAATCTGTATGTAAGTCGGAACTGGCGTCCAGATTCAGACACTGCTGAAACTGACCGCCAGTTCTGACTTACATACAGAATCAACTTAAGAACCCCAGGCGTCCCCAAGTCAGCTG